CTATAACATTTACACCACCTGTAAGAGAAAACATCTTAAAGAGCACGCACTTTGTCTCAGTGGGGAAATTAGCTTTTCATGGCAGGATGAGCAAATGCCACATTGCACTTTTGGGCATCTGAAGGTTTGCAAAGATTAACTATGATTTTACAGAAGAAGATAAAACTGTACAGTGTGAGAGTGGAGATGTGGAGATGAGTGTGTGTGAGAGGACGTGTGCTATGGAAAAGTCTGCAAACACATAAAGGTGTCCTGTTAAACAGACAGCAGTGTCTAAATGTATAAGAATTTATATCTACAACACAAAGAGATCATTAAAAAACAAAACAAAACAACACTTTAGATCTCTTATTATCTTTGCACAGAGGTCAGCGGGATCTTCAGGAGCTGTGATGCTATTTTCGGATGGACTGATTTATCAGTAGCAACTGATTTCATAGCTTTTGATCTCTAACCTGGAACCTAATTAGTTCCAGAGCAGGTTAAGGTTGCAGCATAAGCTACTGTACTATACTGATACTGATACTATACAAAAGGTTTTAGCTTCTCTACACTGGCTTCCTGTCTCCTACAGGATCCAATTTAAACTTTTACTTTTTGCTTTTAAGTCGCTTAATGCCCGAGCCCCTCCTTACCTGTCTGAGCTCCTCTCTGTTTATGCTCCAGGAAAAACCACGAGGTCCAGCTCAAAATGAATGCTGTCCATCCCACGGACTACTCTCAAATCTTGTGGTGATAGAGCCTTCTCTGTGGCAGGTCCCAGACTTTGGAGTAGTCTCCCCTAAAAATTAGATCTCCACAAGTAGTGTTCCCATCATACTATCCAGGCACTTTAAAGCCTGACAAGAAATACATTCAAAATGAATCAACTGAAATGTTTGCATTTGGGGTCCAGGGTGATGTTCATGTAACATTTTTCTTTTTAGAGATTTTTGTTTGAAATAAAAATATTTTATGTGAATTTTCAGAATTTTGTTGTTTATTTGTGTGAAAATCTAATATTGTGTTTTGGAAAACCAATATTGTGGAAAAAGTGTGAGGGTCCCCTAAAGCCCATCTGATGGAGACTTGGGCTCCTGTTTAGCTGTCGTAGACGTTAGAAGCAGATTTTGGAAGTCTGGAGCGAGAGCCTTCGTAGATTACTCTTGTTTCTCCAGCACAGCCTACATGCTCACTGAAGTATTCAGTATTCAATATTTATCTTTCTGTCTTTCGTGTTGAAGTCCACCCCCTTAACCCTCAACAACAAATTGGGCTTGTGTTGACTTGTTCCTCTTATTGCTGTGTTTTCCATGGCAGCACAGAGCTGTGAACACTGGTTAAAAGTGGAAACTGGATTCACTACATTTATTGTTTTGCCTTCAGCCTCTGCTCAGTTACTGTTGGAAAACTTTGCAGAAAAGTGCACTTGGTTGTTGACATGACAATGAAGACTGGAACAGCTGGAAAAACAAACTCTTCAGACTTACTCCCCCAGACAAACACTTGTCAAAAAAGGGCCTAAGCTGAAGTGATGATCCCAGTTCTCTTTAATTCCACAATGCTGTTTCTTTGCCACTTCAGGGAAGAGAAACATGTTGTAGACACCGGACTTCTACATTTTTTATGATGCAAGTGTTAGAAAACAGGAGCCCTTTTCCCAGTTCTTTGCTGTTTTGGGGTGGAGTGTGCGCAGGAGGTTCATCAGAAAGGCAGTAAAGTCAGTACAAGGGTACATCTGGTAAAAAAACAACAGTAGAGCTAAAAGAAATTCCTGGAGATACTTCTCTATGTGGCCAAACAGATGGTAACCTCTGGGCCTGAAACATGAAGCTAATGCAGTTCTTCAGGCCCACTAATGTCCACTTGAGGCTGGCTTCCAGTGTGAGTCAGTAATTATAGACTCACATGTTAAAACATCCAACTTTACAGCAGAAATAAATATGTTTGCATATGTATGGTTAGATCCGTTGTATTTGGATGCACTTAAGGCTTAAAGTTAAAGGCGTGACTGCTTTAACAGACATCTATGCAGGCGTCCGCAGGCTGCAAGGTTTCACATCCACTAATTTAATTCACTGAACTGGACCCTTTTTGATATTTATGTCTATTTCACACTTTGCCGTGACTTCGGGTTGCATATTCCTGTGCACCTCTGGACATCCAGCATGGCTGCTGCCTTTAAATTTGACCCTGGATGTGCTTCTCTTCCTCACACAGATCTTTTACACTGTGGGCTCTGCGGTTTCAAACCCCTAACTTCCTCATCACACTGGGTCAATCTTCTGGACAGAAGTCACTGGTAATGATTTGAAGAGCACAAAGCATCTGGTACAACTGGGCTATTAACTGGTTTTTAACTTAAACAATCACTTAAATTGTGTTTTCTTTAATAAAGAAACATTTACAAAGGCAAGAGTGCCATTTTGTACACTGTAATGAATGAACAATCCAAACATAATGTTTCAGCCACAATGACTGAAATACACTGAAAGCTCTGTCACCATCACCTGCTTGTGTCTGATCCCTGTTGCTGCTGTGCTCATCTGTGGAGTCCACTGTTAACGTCTCTTTGCTACCCACAGACACCTCACTGTGACTTTTACAGGCAGGGAGGGACCAGCAGTTGTTTGAGTTTTTTCATGTATTTGTTTTTTCTATTTCAGGGAAAATTCTTGGTAAAAAGATTTTTACGAAACGACTGGAACTATGCAGGATGTCAGTGTGTGCTGGCACATGTTTTTCCCATGCCAACACAATCTTCCCCTTTACGGCTCCTTAGATCAAGCTCCTTTTGACTTTTGTCTTCCTCAAAATGAAAGTGAAGGAGATCATCACGGCGACACAAGTGCTGCGAAGGACGGGGCACTCATAGCGCTCTCCAAATAACAGAAGCGGGGCTGAAAGCTGTCCAGACGTCCATGAAAAGACAGCCTTAAAGGGAGTTAGGCCAAATCAAATCTGATATGTTTCTGAATCTTGCAGGGCATTTTGAGTTTTGTTATAATTCAGCACAATGCTACTTTTAATTCAATTTGCATAATCTTTGCCTCTTAGTTTTAATTTGTTGGTGTTATAATTGTCTAATTAGCACTAAACTGATGATCATGTCCTTCCTTTTCAAGGTATTTGGTCATAAATCAAAATATAGAGCAAACTGTTAACCTGCAAGATAAAAGGTCACAGAATCACTTATTATAAATCATTCTCTGGGATACATGAATGTCAGCATCAAATGTCTCAGCGATCCATCCAATTACTGTCACGACATTAAGCTAATCCCTCTGCTTCAGGCTCCGTCTTTCTCACTTTTAGTGACATTTATAGCATGTGTTGTGTACCGAGAAGCCGTGCTGTCATTGGACTGTCTGCTCTGTTGATCTGATGGAAGTGTAGTCAGCACTTCACTAGAACCTTACTGCTGGCAGGTATAAGTGCCATCTAAACTATTTAAAGCCTTATTGATAGCTAACATTGTTTCCCGGTAACAAAAAGTCTATTATTACCCTGCAGGGACCGAGCGAAATATGAAAAATCCTTTGTGAAACATCAAAACTGCTTGTCTGACAGTAGAAGAGAACCTTTCTTATTCTTGTCAGCCTTATGTTTTGGAAACGTTTTGTTATGAAGATGATCTGCAGCTCTGGCAGACATCGTTAACACTTCTCTGGTTGTAAAATCGAAGCGAGAATTTAGGGTGAAAAATAATCGTTTAATCTGCTTTTTCATCACAGCTGCTGGTGTGGGTCATTTATAGAGGAGCTCTTGGAGGTTAGTGAGGGTGGTGGGTTAGTGGCCATTCATCACTTTTCAACATGCCGGATTATTTACCTGAATGGTCACATGATATTATTTGTAACCTAAAAAACCAAAGTCATTTCTAGACGCCTCAACATAGACAACTAGTTTAATCCCTGTGTTTAACCAATGAGTGAAAGTAAAATAGAAAAAAAAGCAAAAACAGCAAAACACAAATGTCTCATAGGGGCAGCTTTACAGTTTCCTGGCCAACAAACCTGCAAGTGAATACCACCGCCACCCTTCCAGACTCGTTCTCTAAAATGGGAACGTTGTCCTGTGCAACTAATACAGCTGCAAATGCATCAAAGCACTGCTGACAAAGGGCACACGTCTTCTTTATGTTTGGATATTTATAAAGGCCAGCATGTTGCTTTGTTCTTGTAGTGCTGTTAAATCTTGTACACAGCAGTAGATTGTTGATTCCGGACAATCATTATTGTGTTTTCAGTGTTTCTGCACGTAAAGGTGACGAGACGATGTCATTCTTGACTCCAGATCGTTTCTATCACAGTGACTGTGGCTTGTAAACCTCTGGTTCACATCAAACCTTCAGAGATTAATTTGTTCTGTTGAATCTTGATTAAGAAGCTGCATACTCATTCTAACAAAGATGAAAACAGGTTTACATTTTTAGCGTTGGGTTTGGGTTACTACCTGTGATCACTTTGACTTCACAGGGTTAAAATGAAGCAGGAGACTCGTTCCTTCTTTCTGTCTCCAGAGGTCACGATGAATTTAGAATGTGCTGCTTAAATTTGCACCTGCCTTCACTTGGAACGAGCTGCAAAATCACCAGAATCTTAAGCAGCCGTTCCACTAAATGTATTTAAGGTTGTTCTGACTAACCAAGCAGCAGTTATTTCAGTCGTTCTGCCTGATCATTACGTCTCTGTTTTGGCCCAACACAATAACCTATTCTTACATTACATGTTCAATTCAGGTTGTTATATTGCACCTCTGAAGCTAAAGTACACAAACAGAGAAAAAACATTATCATTGATAACACAGACTTAGAGTTTGGAGCTGTAGAGCTGTGATTAAAGGAACACATCACAATTGATCTTTCTTAATATTGAAAATGACTTTGTTTCTTCTGCACGGATGTGCGATATTATTGCTTATAGAAAAGCAGGAAGAAATCCCTCTCAATAACAAACATAAACAGAGTGCTTCTGTCTAGAGAGAAGTCTTCTTTTGAAATGTGAATAACAACAAATTCCTTTTCTTCCAAGAAAAATACCTTTTATTTCATTATAAATCCACATAATTGTATCTATGAAAGCATAAAATCGCATGTTGTTGTGTTTTTTTCTCCTTATTGTGGTCATTAGTTTCGTTATATTCAAAGTAAATCATGGGTATCAAACCATCGAAGACTGTAAGGTGTATGTCGCATACAAACACAGACACTGTCAACGGCAAAGAGGGGCATCGAGGGGGAGGGAGGAGGGGAGGGGGGGGCAGGAAGGGACGGCGCGAGTTCTGCCGGCCATTTTTTAAAACCACTTGGTATATTTAACCATCCCGAGTGCCAGCGTTTAGTGGTAGGAACAGTTTCGGTCAAGTTCACCAGCGATGTGTTCACACACAGCTGCTCTCCAGCGTTAGAGCGTTTTCGTCGCTTTCACCGTCACGTGTAGAGACGCGCGCGTGCTGCCGCAGACGCTGAATCACTTCCCGCTGGTGCTCCTAAAGGCTCCGTCCTCGGGACACCGATTTTAATTTTTTTTGTAATATTCCAACAAAGAGAGAACCGATCCACAATGGACGCAAACATACCGATTATGTCAACATTTTCTAAGTCATCCACAGCCAGAAGAGTTAGATTGGTAATACTGGAGGATATACAAGTCAGCTGTTCATCAGAGAGAAAAGGGGAGAGACAGAGTGATTAAGAGAAATAGAGCCAGAGAAGGCAGGGCAGAGGGATGAGATGAAAACATATGATTAAAGTGCCAGAAGAGTTCACGGTTTAGTTTCTTGACTGTTTGTTATTATCATAGATGCTTTGAGACAAGACGCTGACAATGTGCTCATATTTTCAATCCAAGGCCCAACATGGAGTTTCTAAGAGGTGTGTTTCCGGAAGTCTGGGTGTCCTCCCAGTGTTGTAATAGTGCTGTCATAATACTGTTGTAATCCTTTGGCATATGACTATATGCTGGGGAAAGAGAAGAGCGGTGCCACCAACCACTGACCACAATAACATCCAGGGGAAATGTTGTCCACATACATCTGTTCTGCACATTCTCAGAAACGAAGCGATCACACAAACACCCATCAGATGATTGTTTACATCCTCGAAAGAAGAAAAAGAGCTTCTGTGAGGGTTTTATCTCGTTCCTCTGATCCAAAGTTTCGAGAACCAGTTCCAGACCTGCATCCAACATGTCTCTCCCAGCGGCGTGGGGTCTTTTGCATATCAGCAGGTGGGCTTTGAATTCTCTGGCTCCAAAGGTCACATCCTGTGTGGGTCTGGTATGATGTGGTATCAGAGGATAGTGTGTATCAAACCGTCAGGGCTCACAAGAAGGATGTTAACATACAACCCACGAGGCACCTGAAACAGATAAGAGATGGAGAGTGGTTCACAGTCAGTGAGTGATTTTTGATCTACATAAAGAAACTTTAGGTTTGATTTCAGTTTTTTGACTGAAACTTTCTGAGTAAATTAAAAAAAAAAGTGATAAATCCACATTATCATCTCTGAATAAGTGAATAAAGGGAATTATCTCAAAGTAAGACAGCTGCAACAGGTGATTATTTATCTTATTACTCACTAAGTTATATTTTCATTTAAATCACCAAACTAAAAGGTGTTTTAACTAATCTGTCACAAGTTTTCTGCTTAATTATTACTGCCTGTCTAAGGAGCTTGGAAAGAAAAGCGTCTGGACTTCTTTAAGTTGCTCGAAGATGTTTCACCTCTCATCCGAGAAGCTTTTTCAGCTCTAAGGTCAAATGGTGGAGAGTCCCAGATTTAAGCCCTGTGGGAATGTCCCCCCCCCCCCCCAAGAGGGACAAAGGACCCCTTAATGATCCTCTACCTAATCACATAAGCCAAAGTGTGAAAGTGGGTGTAGGTCACAATTAGGGCTGCCACGATTAGTCGACTAGTCACGATTATGTCGACTATTAAAATCGTCGACGACTAATTTAATAGTCGACGCATCGTTTGAAGCTTTGTAAGATCGCAAAGGACGCAGGAATGAGTAGTAGGATTTAAGAGTGTAATAACGGACTGAAACAGAAGATGGCAGCACTGCATGTACAAGGATGCCAGCTGCCGTTAAACCCCGAAGCAGAAGAAGCTGTGTCCCAGAATTCATAGCGCAGCCCAGCGCAGTTGTCAACAATGGCGGCAGCTAGTTAGTTTTAACTTTACTCCTATTATTCTTTCTGGGTCACAAAATAAACGTTTAACATATTTTCAGGCGAGAATGTAGCTGTGTAAACCTCAAATATCTGCTCAGTTTATCAAGACACCGCATATTTTCAAAAGCGCTCCGACGTTTTCAGAGACGTCTGTTACCCACTAGCTCGTTAGCTAGGCGGGGGCAAGGCTAACTAGAGCCGTGAGAACACCGGACTCCCGGCAAATCGTTTTCAAACCCACCGCCGTCTTTCGCTACTCAGGTTAAACATGATATATAAGTCACTTAGATAACTTAAAAATGTTATTGTTTGGCTTTCTTTAGTATTTTATTTGTTCCTGAGTAAATCGGTTTGGCTGAGATTAAAGTTATAGTTTTTACACAGCTGAATAAACATCAAGCAGACAGCTGATTATCAGAAGTGTGAGACGCTGGAGAATATACTCCGGTGTCCTGTTATATTTTAGAAAGCAAGGAGTTTATTAAACTTCACCGAAACAATCTGCAAATTTCATTAAAAATTAATAAACTACCATCTTGTCTTTATTTTTAGTTAGCACAAACACTTCAAGCTGTAAGCTAATGATAGTTATATAAGACCAGATGCTGCTGGTGCAATAAGCTGTACGCTGTACGTCCAATGGATGATGATCTGATTAGTCGACTAATCGCAAAAATAATCGGTGACTAGTCGACTATCAGAATAATCGTTTGTGGCAGCCCTAGTCACAATCAGGTTTCGGGTGAGCTCATTGTGAAACCTGGCCCCACCCTATCATATGATTTCCTGAGGTCAGATGGCCCAGGATGTGAGTGGGCGTTAAGGCGTCTGGGAAGGATCTCAAAACCACCGCCTCTGTTCAAAGATGGTCAGTCATAGTGGACATAAATGGCTCCCACAGGGCTTAAATCCGGGAATCTCCACCATTTGACCCTAGAACTGAAGAAGCTTCTCAGATGAGAGGTGAAACGTCTTCAAGCAACTTAAAGAAGTCCAGACGCTTTTCTTTCCAAGCTCCTTAGACTACGATGACCTGGATGACTGAGAGCCTTCACAGACATATTACTGCCTTTGTTTTTACCCCGAGTCAGTGACTCATTCTCCCACTTAAATGTTGTTACATTTAATATTTATTGTTTTAAATAATACATCAATAGTACATCTGTACATCTATATACTTTTTATGTGTGTCTGTGTGTTAATAGTCTGTGTAACCACTGTTGGCTGTGCTGTTGGCTGTCTTGACCAGGTCCCTCATCAGAGTCTTTAATCTTAAGAATCTCCCAGATTTACGGCACAAGGTCTCCATACGTGTCGGGTTTAGAAACACAACTATCTTCACTAAGCCGTTACTTATGGACACCTGTAAAAGATCGCTTGTGTCGTTTTTAAATAAAAAAGACTCATCTCTTATCTGCAGGGTCACTGTGATTTTAATGCAAACTGTGAGGTTGTTGTTGGTAGTTTTCAAACCAATGAGTAAAAAGAAGGCACACAACACAAAGCTCCCGAACAGTACACAAACCAAAGCCTCCTATATGACAAACTTCACCACTATGCATTCCTAATATTGCTGCTGCCAACATGTCAGCTCACAGATGCGAGAAGAAAACCTCATGCGTACCTTTAAGAGACAGCAGCATCTGACAGAAGAGTGCTATTGAAACCCATGGATGACAGCACGTTGTGTGTACATGCGATTTACTCTCTTACAAACATAGAGCTCAGCAAAATGTAGAAACAGACTGAATAATTAAACACTGTACTAACAATTGCACAGTATTATATTTCTGTATTTACGTCTTCTTATGAACACTTAACTGAATTTCCCTCTGTGTTTTGCTTCTTGTTTGTCTTTCTGTGGTTTAAGTGAACTTGATTTTCACGAGCTGGCCTCTTGGAGTGGAAGTCTTTATTTTATTTATAGACTGCAGCTTTCTTGAATATATGCTTGTTCTTTGTTATTGATCCAACACACTTGAGGCTTCCCAACTTATGGGGAAAAGAAAAAACATGCACATATCCACCCACGGTGTGTGCTGCAGGGTTTTTTTGTTTTTCAGTACTGATGACTCAGTGACTGCTTGGCCAGCTTCTGAGATTTCAGGTTTTTAGAAAAGCTTTCCTGCATATACTTTGCTTTGGAAACGATCCCCTTCTCACCCACAAACTCTTTTCTGCTTATATTTGAAATGCAAATACAGGGCATCCCAGCCCCTCTTTAGTCTGGTAAAATAAATAAAGCTTTATTTTGCTACACTGAGAAATACTTCCAATCAAGGGAAATTAAGTTGTTCTGCTCTGTGTCAGGAACTGCAGTTCCTCTGCTGGCCACTTGAGGCTGGCTACCAGACTGCAAAAAAGTGATTGTGTTTAACGCTAGTTTCAGTCTTCAAAACAACTGTATTCAATTCAATTCAGTGTTATTATATAGCACCAAATCACAACAGCAGTCACCTTGATGTGCTTTATATCGTAAGAAAAGACCCTACAATAATACAGAGAACCGCAACAATCAAATGACTCCCTGTGAGCAAACGTCTGGCGACAGTGGGGAAGAAAAACTCAGTTTTAACAGGAAGCAGGGCACCAATCTGCTTACTTAATTACTTGCATGTCTTTTATCCTGTTTTCCAACCCGTCGTGGCCCCTCCCTGAGCCTGCCGGAAGAAACCTGCCGGAGGTTTCTTCCTGTTAAAAGGGAGTTTTTCCTTCCCACTGTCACCAAAGTGCTTGCTCAGAGGGGGTCATATGATTGTTGGGTTTTTGTCTGTATGAATTACTGTAGTGTCTACCTTACAATATAAAGTGCCTTGAGGTGACTGTAAAATTGAATTGAACTTACTGGTTGTAGAGAGTGTCTCCCTCCTGACTCCAAACTAGGGCCTGACAGCTGAAGGCTCTGCCTCGAATCATACTTGAGTATGTGAATACTTCAGGAACCACCAGTGAGCCAGCAGTCTGAGAGTGAAGTGTCTAATAGGGTAATCTTTTTGCTTTTTAAATTTTCAGGTAATATAACTTGTTGTTGCTTTAAGTTTGTAAAATAAAATTATGCTTTCTTTTTCTTCAATAACTTACAGTTTACTAGCTTATCTAGCCAGTCTTGGCTGATAATGTTGCACTCCAGCATGGTTTCAGAAATATGATAAATTCTGCCTCCAAAAAGCATCACGCTACAATGCAACTTTAATGCTTAAATTCATAAATTGATACATTAAAAGTGAAAAATCTTTGTATAGTTGTAAGTGAAACGCACCATCTGATAAATTATAAACCTTGAAGCACACTGCAGTCTTTTGTGAAGAGACATTGGGGTTAAATATCTTGGTGGCATCACTCAGTTAATGGGACAATATGAAAAATATGAAGAATATAAAGAATTATGAAACACTGAATATGAAGATCAGTGCACACTGATTGAGAATGAAGTCATATGTGATGACATAAATTAAAAAAACGTGGCCTCTTGTCAGAAACTGTTAATGGGATGGATGAGCAGAAAGCAAAGAGAGGAAGAAGACAAGGAGGAGGGGAGGTGGAGAATGCTTACATAATGAAATAGAAGTCTTACATAATGGAGTGACACCAATCTGCATACTGTGGGGGATCAGGCCATTACATAATGGCCCAATAAAGGAGAATAATGTTGTTTACTAAGGCAAGGCGATATTTACAGAGCACTTAGAGGCAGACAGACTCCAGGCCTGCTAATGGCTGCTGACTGCTACACTCTCCCTTCATCTCTTCCTCATTCACTCCATTTCCCCCCTCTCTCTCTATTAAAGCATGCTTAACATGTTTCCAGCCCTCTCTCCCCTCAAGATGTTCTGACATCTCTGGTGGTACGATGAGTGGTTACCCTCCAACCTGTGTGCATACGCGAGTGTGTTTGTATGTGTGCTTGATCTCTCACCTCTCTCACCTCTTCTCCCTCCAGCGCTGTGAAGCTGAATGTAAGTAAATCTGAAAAACACACAACCAACAAAAAGTAACAACAAGATGGGATCAGAGTTCAGATATCAACCCATCGAGAAAGACACACGGGGAAGCAACTGTCAGGTCACGTCTAAAAGAAACCTAATCCACCTACAGGCACCTCTGAAGCTCACAATTTTCCATATTATCCAGTTTAAGCCTGTTTAGCTGATCAGCAGAAAAAAAACAAATAAGAGATATTGGGGTTTTATTGTTTTTTGGGGTTTTGCAGCAGAGTGCGAAGCAGTGGGAATGGCCTGCTCTTTGTTCGCGAGTGATGGGAGAAGGGAGCGGGAGAGAGACGGATTGGTGCGGCGGCCGCAGCACCAATCCGTCTCTCTTCACCGGTCCATTGTGGTGAAGAGAGAGCTGAGCGTAAAAGTGAAGCTCTCAATTTACCGGTCGATCTACATCCCTACCCTCACCTTTGGTCATCACCCGTGGGTCGTGAATGAAAGAACGAGATCACGGATACAAGCGGCGGAAATGAGCTTCATCCAAAGGGTGGCTGGCCTCTCCCTTAGAGATAGGGTGAGAAGTTCGGCCATCCGGGAGGGGCTCACAGTAGAACCGCTGCTCCTCCACATCGAAAGGAGCCAGCTGAGGTGGTTCGGGCAAGTCCCACCGGGAGGAGGCACCCGGGCAGACCCCAGACACACTGGATAGATTATATCTCTCACCTTGGGGGAGGGGCCGAGGAGAGGGAGGTCTGGGCTTCTCTGCTTAGGCTGCTGCCAATGCGACCCGGCCCCGGATAAGTGGAAGAAGCTGGAAGGATGGAGCTAATCTTAATTAGCTGCAACACCTTCGATCGGTCAATGAGTGGGGCAGTTTGTATTGTACAGCCTGATTCCTACCTCAGTATAACCACCAGCAGGGTGGATGAGGAGGTAGGTGTGGTTGCATCATAAACCCACAGACTGTGAGACTTGCTCCTTATAAGCCCACTGCAGTCTGTCCCACAGTTGTGAAATTAACTTGAGGGTTGCTTGTTTTTTGATTATTATGAATTAAATTTAACACAAAAAGTTTTCTTAAACTTCTTGGATTTATAACATTCAAATGAGGTGTTTACTGACCAAAAATATTTGGTGATTAAATGACCCATCCATCCTACTTGCATTTTGACATCCTGACAAAACATTCATGGGAGAGTGGAAAGTAGATCGACTCTCAATTGAAAGCATCATCATCGCTTCCACAAATTCATCAATCCCTGCATCCATAACTCACAACCAACAGAAAAATGATGACTGTGATCACACTAGTTTCCCAGATCGAATAATCAATAAAGTCATTCTTGCTCACACAAGTTTGCCCCCCCCCCACCACCACCACCTCTCCCACATCACCGAGCTCTTATTTTCTCTCCATCTCTCTTTATCCCTCCATCTTCTCTTGTCAATAACTGTCTCGGGGCTCAGTGACTCATCTCCACTTCTCTCTCTGTTTGGTTGGTCGTTTTGCTTTATTTCTCTTTTTTGCCTCCTCATCTGTCTCACGGACTAAATATACTAAGACCATAATCCTCCCTTCTGTCTCTCTCTCTCTATCTTTGGACTGCTCTCTCCTTCACGATATATAAGCCCACTGTTGACAGCGTCGCTTTCTACTTCCATGCCACATTTACGCAGGTCTTTTCAGATGGAGATTAACAAATAATGTTTGTTTTATTTTTTTGTCAAAGGGTTTATGCAGCCATTGGCAATGTTATGCTGCAAATTATATTTCAAAGGCCTCCCTGTAAAAATAGATATCAGGAAACAGCAGAGCCTCAGTTGGGACTTCACTGCTTTCTCTTAATGGGCTCTCACACAATTTATTCAGTTTAAGCAGCTCTGTATATAAGGAATGGAACAAAAAGGGAAATAACTTATCTTTTAACAGTTATGGTAAATACATAATTGTCATTATTATTATTATTATTATTCTATGGTTTTAAGGAAGCTAATATATCTATCATTTTAAAGAACATCACATTTAAAGAATGACCGCTTTCTAAACTACCTCATTTCATGTGCGGCTTTGCTGTAGAATGACAGATTACATGCTGCTGACATTCCTGAAGCTTCAAATAGTACCTTGGTGTATAGCACAGGTATAGCACAGGTATAGCACAGGTATAGCACAGGTATAGCACATCTAGCTGATCTGTGACTGATGCCACTGACGTGTTTCTTCACTTGATGTTTCATACTTTATACTTTAAGGGTCTTTGTCTTGAAGTATTGCACACATCGAGGTAAATGTTGTTGTAATTTGGTAATATATAAATCTACCTGAATTGAATTGTATTGATAATTATTTTAAATACCAACGTCTGATGTCCATACATGTCATTAGTATCGTGCTCTGGTGATAAATTCACATAAATTTCATACTCACAAACCATTTCCAAATAGAACCCGACCACGCCAGCAATACTCTTCATAACTTCTTTGTCACTTACATTTGCCACCTTCCTGTCATTCACAGCTTCCTAATGTCCTGCAATGTACATATTATGTCAAGACAAAAGCAAGCTCGAATATAATAGAGCCATTGCCATATGAAACAGAAGATGTCTGGAACCACCAGGACTTCACCAAGAGTTGGCATGCCATCACCAAGCATAACAGGCCACTAGAGTATTTAAAAGTAGAATGGGAGGCAGAGCCTTCCGTTTTTTGAGTCGGAGGGAAGAATCATTTTGCAAAATACAGAGTGAAGAAAACAGAGTGTGATACTTAATCTCTGTACAGCACAGTAGCTAACTGGTTAGCAAAATGGTCCTGGGTTTAAAGTAGGGCTCTTGCATGTGGAGCAGGCAGGGTTTACTCAAAGTTAATTCTCCTCTCATTGGGTCCTTGAAGAAGGCATGGGTTTACATCTCGCCTAGGTCAATAAAGGATATCAACACCTATCTGAGTTTAGCACACAGCAGAAAAGAAAACACTGGCCCAGCTTTGGGGAAAGTCTCTGCTCATCCTCGGCTGGCCCCAGGCTTATATCTCACAGAGCGTCAGCGGAGAGACCTGAACATGGCAGCTCTGTCTGCTAAGGCAGCTGTTTACCTTGTAGTCTTGGTGCTTATAGCAATTACAGAATCATGAATGAAAAACACAATAAGGTGTGCAGAATTGGAGTAATTTCTATTGTGTGAATGTGTGTGTGAATGGGTGAATGACTGAATGTAGTGTAAAGCGCTTTGGGGTCCTTAGGGAAGTAAAGCGCTATACGAATGCAGGCCATTTACCACTTCTATTGTATACTAGTCTAAGGAGCTTTATTTATGCTGTAAACTGGTATTTGCTTACTGCTTTTGGTGGATGGAGGTGCTTATCCAGTTCCTGTGAACTCCCCATGGTGAGCACTTACTTATAAATGACACAGAATCACGACTGTCTTTGTGGATTCACTCTGAAATCTTTGTCTTCCCCTGCAGCAGCCCTCAGCAGCAGGAGCTGTTTGAGCTGGGAAGCTCCCAGTGTGAGTGTGTGCGAGTGTGAATGCATGAATGTGAATGACAGCATCCTTCTGTTTTCCCTAGATACATGAGGGTAAAAATAAAAGCAGACGATCGAAATCACTGTGTGGCGTGACCACTAGGTGTCACTAAGACTCTTTGCAGGGTCTGCTGGCCTCAGTGAAGGCTCCATTGCGGCTGAAGTTTAGTCACTGTGCCATCGTGCTGCTTAAGTGCCAGGCTCGGATAATAAAAGCACACTGAATGATGCCCTGGTGCCTCGTGGCTTTACAGAACACCCTGTGATGATATCTGCCGGTGTCTGCCTGCCTCTCTGCACTCTCTCTCTCTATTTGAGGTAATCATGAGATGGTATGGTGGGATTGCATTGGAGAGCCAGCAGGCCTGAATTACTGTGTGCATTTCTGTTCAGCGTGGGCAGTTCTATAGCTTGGTGTATGTCCACTTTTGTGTAGTGCAAGCTTCATTTCTCTGAAAGGTCAACTTTGCTGAAAGGACATTTTTGTCTTAGCACTTATCTACTCCCCTTGTCGCTACTTGTTGGCTACATGCAGCGATGCTCCAATGATGGCACTGCATGTAGCCATCCTGGTGCTTGTATAATAGGGTTCTCTATCCCTGCTATACGCTAATCTACAAAGTTTTACATAGCATCTTACCTCAAAGTACACCTGAGCAGCCAAAACATTAAAACCCACCAGAGAAGTCCGTAGTATTTATGATCTCAGTATGATATCCCACGTAATCTTCAGTTCTGGGATTCAGGTGGATTTATTTTGACAGATATCACTTACCCAAACCTTGACTAAGCACTAGCCTCCTCAAAGCAACCAGCGCCCAACATTACACTACAAATCCTGCTCAGGAAAAGCTCGTAGAAAACAAGGCATCCTCCCAGCCTCCAAACTCCCTAGATATCAGTCTGATAGATCCTCTATCATAGACTAGTATGCACAGAAAAGCCCTGAACAGCCCTTAAGAACCCAGAAGACCCAAACAATACATCGCTAATGCCTCACACACCACAGTATAAACACAGAAAACCACAACCATCTTGAAAAGGCATTTTTATTGTGTAATGATCTCTGTGCAGATACGTTAATAAAAGCCTGAAACGGTGCAAACCCACGGCTCGCTGTAAAAAGTAACCTGGCTGCCTGCAGGTCCACCTTTGCATGTGTCTTGTATCAGGATCTCCTTCACCACTTTAAGTTTTGCTCTGTATAACAGAAACAGACTTTTCTTTTCTGGATGAGAAAGAAGTAGGAAGGTTTGATTAAGCAGGCACAGTGAGAGCAGGTTAACTATTATTCTAAAGATTGTTTAGGAGGCAGACAGATGTTAGTCCCAAAATTTAAGCCAATCCATCCAGCTGATGTTTGTACGAGCGAAAGGGAATCACCTGCAACATCTGGAAACACTATGCTGGGGAGTGATGCAAAATCTGAACTAAACCTTTTCATGTAAAGATTCGCTGTGTGTTTGTAAAGCTTTGTTTGGCCATGTGCATGTTTAACAGGTA